AAAACAGAAGCACACAGGCTTTCTCATAGGATGAACACCTTTTTAGAATTGTCTACAGATGAAGATAAATTATGTATGATAGGAAGCTGAAGTGTGATAAACAGTAATATTGTTTTGTTCACTGCGCTAGTTTGTTGCAATTCTGGTGGCAGTGAAAATTAAAATCATTGGTCACTGGAAAATAAGCAAAACCATGGTGTTTTAAAACATACATTCACTGCCACACAAATATGTCAATAACATGAATTACATCAAACATATTTATCACTTTCCTGAATGGAGAAACATCCTCCTGTTTGTAAGTAAGTATGCAGTCGACCAACCACGTGAGATTTTAGGTTCTGGTGGTGGTGGATACGATCATGATTGTCTTCTGGGATGATGTGTTTTATAGTCTGGTAGAAGCTTAAACATTGGTAAATATCTTACGGACTACATGGTGCAACATCCTAGAAGACAAGTCATCTTCAACGTGTATCAGAAAAATGCCAACACAACAACTTGCGGATTATATACAACACCTGTATTCCTTCTCTGATCTGTTAGTGATTATGATTAAGTATTTCTTCAGTGTTTTAACAACTTATCTTTCAAGATTTGACTGCACAACCTGCTGTGGGATTAATATTTTGCAGTAAAGTACGATACTTCAATAAAATATATATCTTATTGTAATATATATGGAAAATTAAAGTATCATGTTTGGAAAATTTTATTATGTCATATATTTTGATTTGTAGTGTAGTGAAATTACTATTGTAATAAGCGTTACGAATATCATATATATAAACAGTACTACTAATTATTTTATATATTTTGTTAAATAAATAAGGGCTCTACCTAAAATTTGCTTTAGAAAGTTAAATATCCATTATTATTTCACTATTATTGTATATATTATCAGTGTTTGCCTGTTATTGGCTTCTTGCTGTTGGCAAACACGTAAATAAATTAATTGAATTAATTGAATTAAACTTCATTTCCCACAACTCTACATTGAACTTTTTTCTGATTTAAGGTATAAAAATCACGTTCCATAAATAAACGTTAAATACTGGTTTTAATGTGCTTTGTTTTCATGTTACCATATGACCAAAAATTTAAAATACATTTGTCTAGTCACCATTCATATTCTTTTTGAAGACCCTGAACAGCGTAAAAGCACCAATAACCTACATTTACTCAAACCGCAACATGTGCACTGGCATAAATTTCAAGACAGTGACCAAATTCCTACATTCTATAATGTAAACACTTCATGCCACTTGTACAGTACCTTTATTAAACTTCTTTTCCTCTTCTAACATCTTAGTTCGGTAATCGCCAAATGAGGACCTCATTACTTGTCGCTTCTTTATTATTGGTGCATTCTTACTCCTAAGAACAGTCAACGAATGAGCTGCATCTTGAGCTGTGAATGGAGGAAGTAACTTCAAGCCACTACAATCAACAGATATTTTGAATTGGCAGAATAACTGATGTACTATTTTAATATTCCAACAGCCAGTTCTCAGACTTTTGTACATTGTCTTTACCTCCATTATTAGAGGTTGATACTGAAGACACAGACAGCCTCAGAAACACTAAACTAACTTCACTCTCACAAATATTATAGCCTGAGAACACCTCATTATACTGAGCAGCTGTGAAACCTTACAATCCTATACATTTTCAACATTACTTATAATGTGTTAATTTACAATATATACTTGTTATGCCGGGGCATGGCCTTTCTGCTATGTGTTATCACTCAGTAGACAGCTATATGTGAAGAGTGATGATAAGAGGGCCCCACTTAATGGTACCTGCACCTTGTTGTGGTGGTGGGGCTTGAGTACCTCAGTGACCCCAAGAGCTATGCTGGCGGTAGCATAGCTACTGGTAGGGCCTCCCTAGCCAGATTGGTCGAGGGGGAGAGGTCAGACTAAGACAGGTACCCTGGTCCTCCAGGTTGGGGGTTGGTCGCAAGGCTAACAACCTTGCACCGTACTGAATACAGACCAGAGAGCCATAGAAGAAGAAGAAGATGATGATAAGAGGAAATGGTATATTTCCTTGTGGGAACATCCACATGTGAATTGTTCTCTTAAAACTTTCTCTGTATAAGACATGGATAAATTTACACTACAGCATAAGGTATTTTTACGCAAAACTTACATGAAGTATAAATCTGTAACGAAAGTCAGAGGAAATCCAAGGAAAAGGAGCATGGCTTGAACAATGGCTTTGTAAGTATCTTAAGACTTATAGCACTTCTATAGAAGTGCAGTGTGTGGAATGTTATCTGGCCAATGGGGAACGTAGGTAAGTAAATTCTACTCTACAATGTTATTGCAATCTTACACCTGCTGCAGCTAACCAACTACGAAAGGGAGCAAGCGGATATTCTCCCTGTATATGCAAAACCTGGAAATGTAAAGCACAAATATTTGCCAAATTCCTCAGATAGCAATTAAAAATATACTAATTCTAACATAATTACAAATAATGAAAAATTAAAAAGAATCAAAATAATAAAATTTAAATACAAAAGATAAGAGGGCAGATGTACATTTCTCAGTATCCACCTATGCTACACCTGTCCTATTATAATCTCTCTCAGTGATAGGTAGCTATAAAAATTATAAAGTTTCTTATTATGGAATTTTCAGTTTAACAATTAATATATGAGATCTAAATGTTTTTCTTAGATATTTGTTTTCAAATATTCCTAATATATTTCTTCCCTTACAGCAAGAAGGAAGATTTTACAGTACAAAACTATTGGTATAATGCGTGCATCTTAAAATTCTGACTGTAGTCAGTCCCCATAAAACCAAGCTATTATGTAAGGCCTGTGGAGAAAATTTACCTTGTTTTGTAGACATCTTGTTTGTGGAAAGTGCACCCTCTAGTTGCTGAATGCACCACTGCAGTTCCAGCTCAAACTGCTGCACAGTGTTCCTGTCCGCATCAGATGTCTTGACTGGCAGCTGAGGCATGGCCTTCTCCTTCCGTACCTGACAACAAACATAACATGAGCAAGCACATCAGCTTTTGTTGCTGTACATAAACAACAGTTGACAGATAAGCTACTAAGTGGGGGAAAACAAGTTCTAGTTTGTTACAATAGACAGTGGAGCTATAAGAAACTTTTGAATTATGCCTAGTCAAGTTCCTTTCACTTCCACCATCTGAAAGTTGTCAAGACACAGCCTCAATTTTTCAGATATATCTGCAGTATTAAAAAAACAATTATACAAACTTTGGAAGTACATTTATAACCTGTTACAATACCAAATCACAACTGTCCAAATATAATGATTTATCACATATCGTTGCCGAATGGAAAAGTAAATTTCGACTTATTTTCGCATTAACAAGGGCTGGATATTTTGTAAAGACCTGTCATGATTCTAAATTGAATAATTTATATGTCGTAAAGTTGACCATAAATTAATAAAAAGTCCTTCAAAACAAATACGCAACAAGCAAGTACAGGTTTTTTTTTCTGACGGCAGTACACACTTTCCGCCAATACGTGTTACCATTTCCTGAGTTTCATTAATAATAAATAACACTGCCAACTTTTTTATCCCACTATAAAATATTTACCATGTTTCTTCGATTTGACATTTTACACGTGTTTCGAAACAGCACAGCCAAGAAAATCGTATGTTATCACGAACTATGCACACATATAACGTAACCAACAACAATACACTGTTCATCTCTGTCTATGACGACACGAATTACCAACATAGTTCTTGCGTCGGTGCAATACAACGATGGGCCGAAAGACCAATGTATGGACCATAGTCACTGGACAATGTTGGTATATTGTGATATGGTAACCACAGGCGACCGGCAGTCCGGATTAGCAACCTGTAGGAACACGCCACTTTCAGAAGCAGGCCAGGTAATAACCGCGTTGTAGAACTGGATCCACCGATTATGACCGCTGACCTTGTAGGGAGTGCCCAGTATGCGGACCACTCAATAAAGGAAGGAAGGACTTTCCGTCGGTCTGTACAGTCTGCCAGTGCAGCAGTGTAGAAGCCTGATTATTGTTGTCTTGTGACTGTGCTGTGTTAACAGTATGCCACCTGTTCGTTGCAATCTCCTTTCTGGTCATTGATAACGCCTCGTATCACAACACTCGAACAAACCACCGACGTCTTAATCAAAGGACGAAACGAAAGCCTGCCTATTGGAAATAAACATCCCATTTTGTGAAAACGTGTTGAAAGCTCAACTGTATGATTTAATCAAATTAAATAAGTCAAAGCACAAGTAATATGTGATTGATCAGATTTTAGCAGACAAAGAACGTACTGTGCTGAGACTTCCGCCTTACCATCCCGATTTAAAACCCATTGAACTTATTTGGACAGATGTAAAACAATAGGTTGCAAGCAAGAACTCTTTCTCTTTTACCCATAGGTGTAAAGGTTTTTATCTATTCATTTTGACCTATTTGGACAATGGTAGGACTCCTTGGATGAGTGATCAGCCCGACACAAGGCCTCTACCATACAAACACAGAAAGATGCAGACAAACATCCATGCCTTGAGTGGGACTCGAACCCATGGTCCCAGCGGTCAGGTGCACGAGGTCCATGCCTCAGACCGCGTGGCCACTGCAGCCGGTGCAAGCAAGAGCATTATGTCACGCTTTGTCACTCTTGTCAATCTTTATAAATATTAGTCACGTTTCGGCACTTCTGGCCACAAAACAAATGCATATACTATGTACTCCAAACACTTACTGACCCAGGAGATGAGAAAGCAAGCCACCAGGAAATAATGTTTATGGAAATGGCAATATGTGCTTCTTCATGTCACATTCTCCTACTCCACTTATCCATTTTTCCTTTTAATTTTAATAGATGTGGAATGCAGAGATTTACCACTACTACTATACCAAGTTTCAAATCTTGGCCCTAGGACTGACTATCCTGATTGAAGTTCATGGTTTCCCTCAGTCCCTGTGAACAAATGCCTTCACATTCTTTCCAATTAATTATTCACTTATCATCCTATTACTCAGTGCTGCATAATCTGATTGTTGTAAATATAATTTAATAAACCCTAAATAAATATATTTTTTAACATCCCTGATTATTTACAATCTGTCCTACATGGACATTCAGTAAATCCTCTGATATTGTCTAAAGACATGCAGAATACATGTCTAGTGACGATCTTCCTTAAAAATTAACAGAATGTTACTTTACAGCTTTCTTAAGGATCAATTTGAGTTAAATCTATTTGTGAAGTCTGATGGATTACTAAATAATTTAATCTAATTTTAATGAATGAATGATGTATGTTTTGTTTGTTTTTATTACTCTGTTCCAGGCTGACCCTGTTGTGCTATTTGACATGAACCCAGCATCCCTGAAGTAGTTCAGACTAGCAAGTACATGTTACAAATTACATTAGTCCCTGTTCCAACTAGGAACATAACATTTATGGCAGTTTATTGTAACTAACGAACTACTGCAGGAAGTAATCCTTGCCCTTCATGATGTATCATTTGTATTATGATGAAATTAATTTCATGTATATGTTAAACAACTGGCCCTCTGGTACCAGAACCTAAGGACTCAGTACTGCAAATCCCATGGACATGACTTTTAGCTAATTCCATCAACCTCAGTTTTTTACAACTGCTTATCTCAGATCAGCTCAACATCCTACATTCCATATCTTGGTTGTACAAGTTGTCTTTTCCCACCACATTTTGACACCAATAAAATGTATACGAAATAAAAAAGGACAATTGGCCTGGAGAAAAATATGCATATCTTTAGAAATGAGTGGAAAACTTTGAGGAATTACTATGCTTAGAAACTACTGGTGAGGACACTGTAAAATTATAATCCATCAGACAATGTTACATTTGTAAACAGCAGGAACACAAGTGAAAAATAATGTATCACTAAGATATGATGGAAAATCTGTCAACACGTTTAAAGCAGTGGTAACAGTTGGGATGCAGTGATTATATTGAGTGTTGAGAAACATTTTAATAAAAATGAACAACTGAGGACTGGTATAAAGAAATTGCCTACATGAAGGGAGTCAGGAAGCTATAAAGCAATTTCAGTGTTGTGCTAGATATTAAAATTTTGCAGAATACTTTGTAATATAGTCAAAAATTTATGGTTTTGTCCTAGATGCAGCTGCTCTCAGACAACTCTTCCTCAGCTGTAAGACCCTCTTACTGCCATTGGTACATTTGGTGGGAGCAGTTCTGGAATTGCTCTGGTTTGATGGCATGCAAAGCATCTTCTGTTGCATCAATAACTTCTTGCTTGGTGTTGAGATGATGACCTCTCAAATTTTGTTCTTCACTTTTGGGAAAATAACATAAATTGGAAATAATAGCCCAAACCTAAAATGGTAATGATTTCTGTTGTTTACTCATGACTTTATTATGTTAGAATGAACTCCAGTACTTAATAATCATTAATTTAACTTAAAAAATTCATTGTGATTATGATTAATGAAAATGAAATACCAGTGTTCCAAATTATTAAATTCAATATCTTCAGTATCAGATACAAGTTTGCATGTTTTGAGCTCTGTAAAATCATAAGTTACTTTATAATTAATGACTTAACCTGACTTTAGAACATTGGCTATGTTGTCCGGATATTAGTATCAGTTACTGACATTAACTAAACTAAATAGAATTGGAAATGGATATTATAAAAGACAACTCAAATGAACAAATACTTCGATATCTAGAGCTCTCACACCAACAATAATTAAAGAAATTACAATATGTTTATAGATGACTGTGTGTAACTTAACCGCTAGCTGCTACATAGACTATGTCTATGTTTACATGAACACAACCTCCATCCATTCAACACAATGCAAGACCATGATATTTTCAGAATGTGTGGGGATAGTACTTGAAGTCAACTTCATCTGTATCCATGGAGAGTGAGAACTTGCATGGGACATACAGACCTGCAGCCTGCAACACATTCTCAGAGTGACACATCCATAACAAATCTCTGTTCACAATATTAGTCACCCCTCTGAGTGTGTATATAAATGAAATTGGCCTGAATGAAGTTCGTACATAAAGCTGTGCTTATCTGCTTTATTAGTTATTCAGGAAAAATTATTTTGCATTTTATAATTCATTCATTTTCTAGTTATTAATAGAAAACAAATCTGTCAGCAATGTAAGCCACCTTACAGAAGCCACAGTAATGCTAAAGAACAAACAGAAACTGGATTTCTGAACAGTCTATCAGAGTAAACTCCTAACTAACTATGTACAGATTATACATGCATGACTCTTTTTATATAAACAAAGACGTCTGTGAACTGGGCTTTTGACATCTTTCTGCAACTGCTTCAGATGGGGGTTGGTCTACAGAAGATGTGGTCAAACAATATCTTTTTTTGGAGCTTTATGGTCAGTATTGGTGATGGGGTTGGGAGGTTTGTTCCAGTGGTCGTGGTGGTGCAGGTATGCTTGATATTTTTTAAATATTGGTGTCTTACAGTCAATTCTGTTATGTTACATTGTCAGCCACTTATGTTAAAATGGTAGTTAACACTTGTGGATCCCAAGTAAGTTGGCTGAAAATTGTATTAAAAGTAAAGAAATATTTCAAGTTACCTGAAAAACTTGAAAATGGAGACTGGGCAACAGAATTAGTCAAAGATTTCAAGGCAGGGACTGAGTGATTGCATTCATGAAATTACTACCTGGCTGACCTTCTCAGAACTCTTACCGACACAGATGACAACACAACAGGATTATCGAAAAGAATGACAGTGTTTGATGATATTTACATTGTATCTCTAGCATGGTTGGATCAAGGAAGATACTTATTTGAGATTTAGATGATTTGCAAGGTTTCGCTAAAGAAGAGGAAGTCCAAAATTCTTGACATGGTATGTGTTATGAGAAGTTTTGAAGCACCAATGAAGAAATGTTGAATAATGGCTATAGAGTAATATGTGTGAAGTGGACTTCCAGCACATGTAAGACAGACATTGTCAATGCCACTGCAAAACAGAAGGAATAATAAGAGAGAGGGTGGACGAGTGGAATTCTAAACAGTTCAGAAAAAATAGCAATCATTAGAAACTATTCTTCAAAATAATGTCAGCTGTGCAAAATATAAAAAGCAATTTGTGAAGTTCTGTATAAGGACCAAACAAAACATTTTGGATTATAAATGTTTTTTTTGATTATTCACATATCTTGCACCATTCATTAGCCTGGATAATCAAGAGTTTACTGTAATAAAAATGTGGAAAAAATTTAGTAAATTAAATGCCATATTGTGGATCAAATTTGACTGTTTCCACTGAAATCTGTAGCTGTTTCCTGAGAACAGGAGTACTTACTCTGTACATATTGTCTGATGCAATGGGATCATACGTGGTGCCGAGTTTGTGTGAAGACACCAGAGGAAGTGTGGAGTAAGGCTCAAGGGAAACTGATGTGCTTCTGGCATGGCTGTACTGCTGTAAGTTGTCATGTGTTTGCTGTCTGGGACCAACTTCTGTATGTTGTGTAAGAAGACATTGAGGAGGAACATTTTCATTTTCAAACAATTGTAAGCCTTCATTTTCAGCTTTAGGGAAAACCTTTCTGAGATACTGCAGTGGATCTAAGATTGGAGTGACTGGTGGGATTGGCGGCGAGAAAGTCAAAGACAGGCCGTCACTTAATACAGGTGACAAGGGCATCTGCTCTTGCTCAGCTGAAACATACAGAATTTAAAATCTGTGTATCATCTAGAAGTGTTCGTCTGTGCAGTGTAATGTCAAGAAAACGGCAACGGGTGATTAAAAGCTCTATTACAGCACATATAAAAGTAGTCAGGTATATAATTTGGAGCAGAAAATGAAAATAACTTTTTTGAGATTAGCCACCTTTTCCAAGTGACAATGTATTTGCATTGATGTCATTTGTATTATTGTGAAAATTTGAAAGGGGCTCAATGCTGAAAGTTTGTGGAAGTACAGAGAGTTGAAGCTGAGGTATCAGACTTGGATATGGTAGAAACAAGTCTGACAGGTCCCAAACATATGAACAGAAAACAAAAATAAATACATTAAAATGATAATTAAAAAATGCTACAGAAGCAGAATTTTCTCGCTTTCTTTAATTGAAAAGAAGGAAACCAACTGACATGTTTTGTTAAAATAAACTGTTCTCATTTTATAAAAATCGACAATCAGAATAAAAGTGACATTAACATAAAATATCGTAACTCAGAAACAGTGACAAATAAAAAAAAAATTATTCACACTTCTTGCTCTAAATCATTTACCTCCTTAAGAATTATATTGGAACATTAAATCATCCTGATCATTCTGTATAATACTTTCATTCCACAACTAACTTATTATCCAACTAATAACCAACTAAGAGGAAAATTCAATACATTTTATTTCATACATCCTTACAGCTGCACTGATCTATAAGTATCAACTAAATAAAAAAACATGTGACACAGCATTTCATAAATGTCAATGAAATTAACATCCTACACATTTTTGTAATTTTTAATTGCCTACTTCACGGGTTCAGTTGGATTATTACACTATTAAAAGTTACATCACATTAGTATGATACATTGTGATATATATATATTTGTGTGTTCATAACTATAAAATGATAACTATATATATCATAATGTATCATACTAATGTAACATGTAGCATTTAACAGTTTAATGACCTATCTGGAACCTCTAAATATCGGAAATTCATACTGTTTAAACATGTGGAATACTGTAATTTTAATTTTAATTAAACTGAATTTTATGAAATGTTGTATTTAGACACCAGTGCAATCCAGTTCACAACCAATTTCATCCTAACCTCTATAATGAGCAGCCAAGAGTAGCTTACCTGATGAAGGCTTTTTATGCTGTACAACAGAGGCCTCCACATCCATGTTCACCAGCTTCTCTCTCCCATGGCTCGCAAGCAACTTCCTGCAGAAAACAGCTTTCAATAAAGTGAGCAAGAAGAGAGCACCTATCACACCCTACACCTCTGGAACATATAACTTTTCAACAGAATTTAAACTACTGTATTTTCTCAATTGTACGATACCATCGATTGTAACGTGTACCCTTGATTTAGTAATAGTATGTATATTACGGTTCCATGACAAAATATACATATTACAATAGGAATTGTCAATATTGTTGTTGCAGTGAACAACAGAAACGGCTGTATCACATAATAAATATGCTGCTTCAACACTTCCATTTGCTTGCCAACAAAAGAGTGGGAGTACATACCTCTTGTAAAAGACCTCTTGCAGCTGGCGCTGTGTTTCCAACAAATAGTCTGCAACACACACAAAAAAAATGAATGTCTGGAAACCTATCCACATTATGAAGCAGGCTTTTCACATCTGTATGCTACTTTCAGATATAAGCAAAATTAAGAGGCAAGTGTTAAAGTAATAAAACAATGGAGGAAGCCATGATGACGGAAGCAGTATGACCTCTGAAACGTTGGTAAACATCGACCAGACTACACAGCGCAACAACCCAGAAGACAGAAATCTTCATACTCTGATGACGGAGGCAGTATGACCTCTGAAACCTTGGTAAACATCGACCAGACTACACAGCGCAACAACCCAGAAGACAGAAATCTTCAAGGATAATTTAATTTCTACTTGTTTTTTCATCTTTCTTCCTCTCTACCATGTGTGAATTCTTGTGACAAAAATAAACATTAAACAACTGCAAATGGAGATGAAGACATTCACATTCATGCATTATGGTATTCAAATTCCTTTGTTTTGTAATATGATCAGAAATAATAATGTCCAGATATGCACAACTGTGCTTAGTTTGAAATGGTTAGTGCATAGAAATATGACACAATAACCATAAGTATAAGGCTTATGTGAAAACTGTAAGATAACATGTGATATGCTGCAGTGCAACCATTGTCACCATGGTAACAAAACTATCTTTGTATGTGACCCATCATCATAGATGTAAATAATCTTTTTTTTTTTGATCATTAATACAATTTATTGCAGCATTACCTTTGAAAACAATACTGAAAGTAGAAAAAATTATAAAATTTCTTTATATAGTGAACTAAATGTGAAAAGTTCCACGTCAATGCCACCAGCCTCTTGTCAAACAGACCAACACAAAACTAACCTAACCTGACTCCAGATTTCAGATTCTTGCCAAATGCAGATTTTGCCAGACCTTACCATAGGTGATGCCACAGCATTTCTTGCTACCAGAGTTTCTGCTGTCAGAACACAATTTAAATTATTTTGGCACTGCATGAATGGGACAGTCATCCAGTCAAATCATAACACACACTGGGTATTATGTTAGGAGTAGATAGATTTATGAGGAAATTCATATGCACAGCATATTTTGCTATGAGCAGAAAGTGTGACTATGCTGCATTCAAGTTTGAATATCTTTGCATGCCTTTTCCATAACAAACCTCAAAAAAAGCCAAAAATTTGTGGATGTGGAGAATTCTAGGCCCCTGCATGGTTCAGGGTCCACATTAAGTTGTAGGTCCATTATTATCACTCTACCATCATAAATAAAGTGGAGATAAAGCAGTTATATATAATGTAAGATTTGAGGTTGAAAATTTCTGTCTTCTGGGTTGTTGCGCTGTGTAGTCTGGTCGATGTTAACCAACGTTTCAGAGGTCATACTGCCTCCGTCATCAGGGCGATGAATATATATAGCTGAAAAAACAAGGACAGTGAACAGTACATAAATATGGAATATGAAAGGTAAGGGTTTGCTGAAAATGAATCTACACAGTGTAAATATGTTAAGTGGATCTAAAAAGTTAAGTAGATTTGCTAAAGTTGAACTACAAGGTGTGGGTTTGTTAGAAATGTTTCTACAACAAGAAATACTTAAGTTATTTTGACACGTAATGAGAACTGAACATGGAAGATTACCAAAAGCAGCAGTAGATAATACAAAACATTAGAAGCACAAATTAAGAAATAACAATGAGAACAAAGGTAAACTATGAAGTTACAGATTATAAAGTATAAATGGATGATAGTACATAATGAGCAACTTCATAAGCTATGCAGGTCACCCCTAATATTGTTAGAACAGTGAAATACCAGAGGCTACAAAAGGTAGGCATGGTGCTAGGATGTGTATAGAATATATACATTTTTCCGGTACCCAAGATTAATGTGTATAGACTTCTGGTGGGAAAACTTGATGGAAGATAACATTAAGATGGATCTTGGGGAAATACACTGTGACGATGGGAGATGTATGTAAGAGGTTCAGAAACGTGTCCAACAGTAGGTTTTAATGTTAGTGGCATTGAACCTTTGGGGTCATCTGCCAGAGTAAGTTAAAACACGTTTTACAAACCGGCAGAGACAAGTGGGAGTGGCTTTGTCTCACTAGCCAACATAGGTAAACAAAAAGGAAACATGAAACTAATTTTTACACGTTTAACTGAATGTCCAACTACCAGAGACAAAAGACATGCAAAGTTTGTCTGATAGCCAAATGACATACTTTCCAGTAACAGTTGATAAACTTTAGCTGAGGTAATAAACTGGCAGGGAGGCAAAGGGGTAGTATGTGGTCTTGAGGGTACATATCCTGCTGACAGATGTGTACCATTAAAAACTCGGGAATGCCATTCATTCCTACCAAGTCCGATGCATGCATGTCCAAGTCATGACTCCCGGGCAACGTTTTTACAGCTAAGTCTTGCAAGGGCAAACAAGCAAGTTCCTGACGCTTTCAAATTGGGACTGGCCAGCTTTGGGAAACAACCCCGACAGAAAAACATCACTCCCTCAGGATTGCTGAGGGTTGGGCGTGAGGCTGACAACCTCGCTTCGTAAAAAAAAGATTTGTCTCAAAACTTAAAGCTAAGCCTCGGAACCTGGAAAGGAAAATTCGGAAACGACCATAGCAATGGCAAATGGATAAGGAACTGGAAAACAAAGGCAAGAGATAGAAATGAATAGAGGTGAAAGATTGAAGAGGCCAGGGTTAAACTTTGAACTGCAGCGCCAAGAAGAATAAACAGGCAGCTCTCGACAGCAGGACTAGTGATTTACTCTTGGTGCTGAATTTCTGCACAAATTCCTTGTCCCAGTATGATGCGACTGCAACTGCATACTCCTTGTACTCCACTGCAGGGGTTTCCAGTAACACATTTCTGTCATCAGAAATCATCTTGGCCTTTGCTGCTTTAAAGCCCGTACAGGTCCTTGTGAACTCTGCCTTATTTTTCAGCTGTCGTTTCTTGTTGTGTTGAGTTGGAATGACTCTGGGAGCAACCCTGTAAGCACATATAATGCTCAACCTCACAATCCTTTGCTCAAAGTGTATGGATACGCTCAGAAAGTAGTTTAGCTGCAATATAAACATGCAATGGTTCAGAGGAGTGATTTAGCTTATTGTCGTACATTTAACACAATACTCATGATTTTTCTTCTCTTCAAGAATTCAGGCCTATTAAGAGCTACATCTCTTCTTTGGCCAAACATTCAGCTTATAGTGAAGTGCTAATTTTGTCATATAACCCAAGTCTAATAAACTTCCTTCTATAATTTTCATAATTACCTATTTTTCCTTTCTTAGATAATTGCATGTATTTTTGCCACTGACCATTTGATTGGTATTTTACACTGCAACCAATACAAGTTCAGTAAGTGGAGGAACCTGAATTTTAAGAATAATATCATATCCCAACAATTCTAATTTAGATTATAACTTTATATCAGTTTATGTTTATTTCCAAAATCACTAGGCATTCGTTTTTGATTTGGTGTAACAGTACCACAGCAATTTATGACCTCAGTATGTAAACTGTTCCATAAGCCTGGAGACAAAAAATAATTATCCGTATGCAGTTTATGTCCCAAATTTTAAATCTTGTCAAAGATGCATGAGTTACTGTCACTATGGCAGTGGCACAATTCCTGTCTTTGCCTAAATATACTGACATGTTGTTCATATATCCTTTAGAATAACATCGCTTGTAGATTTTTATCCCAGCTGTTATGTAAAATAAAAGTTGTCGTGCTATATGCAATGTAGGTGCTTGTGGGGAGAGGAGGTATAACTCCTATTCATTCTTGACCAGAGCACTAAATGGGGGTGAGTGGTCCATCTATTAAAATACCCTCACCTCTGAGCATTGCCTTCACTGCGTCTCTGTCCAAATGTCTGTTCAGGAGCGGGGTCATCTGGGGACAGTGAATCCTCAATATTGTAGTCACTGAAAAATACAAACTGCATACCTTGTATGTATTATTCAATAATTCACTAGCATCGAACCATTCATCATGCCTTTTGAAGGACCCTCTATATTGAATTAGCCCATGAGTTAGCAGCTAAAAAATAAGCTGAATTAAGTCCTAGATTATGGTAATTCTTTGTTTGCACATATTTTAAGCAGTTAGTTGGAGAAAAACTTCAAGAGAAAGAAATGTTTAAATAACATTATTATTATTTGAAGTCTTCACATAACTAATCACTATTACAAGCTTTAGTAATTCATTATATGTCTATGTTTATTATTTTACTAGCAACATGTCAGTTGATGCCTGATGATCGACTAGCTGTCTGATATATATCACTAGTAAAATAATAAACAAACACATAATGAAATAATAAAGCTTTAATAGTGTTTTATTCTGTGACGATAATTGACAATAATGTTGTTATTTAATTCAATCACAACATAACATCCCAATATAATCTAATAAATGTTTGTTTTCATAAGAAATGTGTACATTGTTTAATTTCCCATATTAATGTCAGGGTGCTTAAATACAGTTAAGGGATTTTATTTTCTAAACCATACACTGAAAATAAAAAATATGGGAACTTTTATCCCATTATATAAAAAACACATTGCACTGCCACTGATATTACACCTTTTAGGATTTTGTAGTATTAGGTGCACTTTTTTAATACTATCTAGTGCTGTTACTAGTGGACATACTTATATGGTATCACCACAGAAATTTCACATGTCAAGTTACAATGATTCATCATGTATCATCATAATACTGAAATATTGAAACATGTCCCAAAGTCACAACATTGTTATTTTCCACTTCACTAAAACATTATGCTAATATATGATGCATATTTTACAAGACTTATCATCCCACAAAACTTCTGCGCCTTACGCTGAACACTGGCAGTGTTCTGAATTTAATAGAACTGTTTCCACAATTTAAATTTAATTACAGAGAAAAGTAGGCTAGTTTTGACACGCAGTATGAGAACAAATGCCTGAATACATGAATCTGGGGTTTGATACCTTCGTCTACCCGAATGCACAATCCGGCTTGAACTCTTCCCCACTATCTTCTTCAGTGCTTCTTCTAGCATTGATTTTCTGAGTGGCTGTAAACCTAAAACAACAACCAAGTGAGTTTTGCTCAAAGTGGTATGCATTCCATTAACTCAAACAAAAGGATCTTCCATAACTAGTTGAGTGATTCAATCTGTTAAACAAAATTTAATTTGTATATACCCAGAAGTTTCAGGAAACCCTGTAAAAAGCAAGAACACAACATTACATTAGATATGAGGTTCTTACAGCAGTGATCATGTCAATGGTGGTCTTCTGTGTTGTAATGTATATGGACTCACAGATATTTGGTATGTACCTTTAAGTCCATAGAGCATTACAACCCAGAAGACCAACATTGACTACATTATATGTTTGGTTTCTTATTGTCCCATTAATTGCTAATATTGAAACCATAAAAATATACTGATAATGCAGTACCATGATTATTTCCATTCCTATCAAGTTAGACAGAGGTACCATCAGTATCACCACAACATCAGAACTTTAAAAGGTAAGATTACCTAGATTATCAACATAGGGTTTTAATTCAGCTTCAATTAAAACTTAATATATTGGATAATTAATAATCCCATCAATGCCGTTAATCTCAAATACTGTTCTGGCTTCAAGGCTCAACTTAGAATTGGCCCTTCCATAATTGATATGGTTTACCTGACCTTTTGGTGTATACTGCTATAATCTTTTGGAAAATCCTGTTTCATCCATTATTATCCATGTTGTGAAAAAACGTGATTTTCATCAGTTGTATAAACAATGTTAAATATGTTTAGTTCTTCTATAATTTCTTGGTTTCCAGTATATTATATCCACGGTATATAAATGTACCGACTTCTTCAATTTTGGCTCTTGTTAGTGATTTACCTTGGGATTTCAGAACCTTTGTCTTTGCGATTAATATAAATATTTACTTAGAAGCTGCGTATCTGATAACTATTATCAATAAATTGCATGGAAATTTTGTATATTCAGATTAGAATAAGCTTGAACTTAAATTCAGGAAAAAACGACAATTACTGATACCTGTCCGTCTATACACACATCCATGCATGCATTTGCACAAAGATGCACTCTGACACATACATAACCCTTGACTACTCAGGTTTTTAATATTGGCAGTGAGATTTAATTTTGTGCACATTAGACAGGACATATTAACAGTTGTCTTAAAAACTTATACATAAACTAAAAAGAATCATGTTAAAAATTATTTTCTTACAATGTCTGTCCCACTGCTACCATATGGTAATGAGGCATGAGTATTATGAAAGTCTGAATAATAAAATATATGGTTTACAGAAATGGAATGTTTGTAATCTGTAAAGGATGTAAAAAACTGGACAAAATTAGAATATCAGAAAAAATTAAAAATATTCAAATTTGAAATGTTTGAATGGAAACAGGAATGGGCAAATCACTTGTCAATAATGAATGAAACAATTTTTGAATGGAAAATAGTTTATTGTTAATGAAGAGGTAGTTGAGTAATACATTGTACTTATGCTGTAGAACTAATAAATGTAGGAAAATACTTGTATAAAGTTAGATGTAAATAGCAAAATAAAATCAGTAATATACAACTGGAAATAGGGAAGGGGTGTAGATTTATAGTTACAAGAATGAATATTGCATAGAAAGAGTAAAGTGCCACTAGAGATAGATATATTAGACCTGTGGGCCACAAAGCCTGATGTCAGGCCAACACAGGCTACTGTTTAGAGAATTCAACTCATAAATGATTGATTGTTTGATATCATGATTGTGTACTTTCAATTAATAAGTCACATTTTATTTATCAAAATCATACCTTTGCGAGTACTGAAGTTGGACAACACACCACGCCTGGAGGGGATAAAATTCCTCTGAAAATAAAACATCTATAATTGGCGGCTAAAGACAAAGAAGGTGAAAGATAACTGCAGTTACTACTTAAATGTAAATTATAATTGGAAAGTAATGTAACATACTTACGCGGTATGACTTTTTATATTTGCCAGCCATTATCACAGATAACACATGCAACCCTTGAATACGATTAATCGATTGCTATCAATGCAATGTAATGTACATGGCACAGATTACATTGCTTACGAACTTTCCTTCAACGGAACATTTTAGGTAATAAAAATACTATAATTTCCACCGCATATTGTCTTTATTCAACGTTCGTTGACTCAAACATTACGTACAGTCACAATACACTTTAGAAATGAACCGTGATCACAGTGCATACCGATCGTAATTTTTACCTTGCAGCAACAAATTTTCTCATGTCTTTGGCATCTGCCGGCAAAAAACATGACCATGTCTTCGCCTACTTCAACCGGATGTGCCACATTCCGTTCCACAAAGAAGTTAAGATGTGGATTTATGAATAAAAATGGATCTTCTTCAAAGATAATTAGTGTACAACTTTTGTGAAATTGTTTACTTTGTGATAGATATCTTAACAAAACCTTCTTACATGTTTTAAATACGAATTGGTATTATTTCTGAAGACAGGGCAAAATATACTGATATTTTGAAAATGGAATTTATTTAAAAATACGCTTTCCATGCTGTTTTGTCAATAAATATCACTGTATTTCTGAACTGATATAAATATTCCACTCTAAGATAGTTCAGGATCCGAAAACCATACCGACGAACCTTGGGCATAAACTTTACCCCCTTTCTAACTACTTGGCACACTACGAGTTGAGGCTATTAAAAATTACACTGGTACATAACATTAATACGAGGAATTTACTGATATAAAAATCCTGTTATTAGTCACTGCGACCTGGATAGCTGTCATCTAGCCTAACCTCGTCTTGGCTCTGCTCACATCCACCATTCTTCTCTAGTCACTGACCAATTCTACAGGCATTAACATGTTCTGTGTAAAGCGGTCACTAGTTGAAACCATTTAATAAATGTAACCGTAATAATGCGTTGCATTGTGAAATATTTTGGAGCATTCTAAACCTACAAGACAGAGAGTAAAGTTATCTCCTGGACTACGTGTAACATTGCCGTCGCTTGACACTGAATAGTCCTGGCGTTTTGTTGTCATCGCAAAATAGAGGTTGCTTAGAACAATCTTGCAAGAACATGAGAAACTCATATGGAGCTAATTCATTCTTCATAATTCACTAGCACGGTACAATTCTAAAATAACATAAAATAATTTAATAATTCACATTCTAATTTGCTGAGTGGTATTGGAAACGCGTATAAAGGAAACATTATCGTCGTGTTAAATCTTGAATAAGCTAATGACTTGCAATTAAGCAATATTTAAGGATTAAGGTTGAAGAAAAACTAACGAAGCCTCGCTCCCATACTTAAATTCTGATACATATCAGACTGGACCGCCACGGTGGTCTAGCGGTTAGAACGCTGGCCTTGTAATCCTGGGGTCCCGGGTTCGATTCCCGGTGGTGCCCAAATTTATAACTTGTGTTGTTTTCCTCGGGGGCTTCCCCGGTTTCTCCGTGGCATCCCAACAATTACTCCATTCACACACAGAAGAAGACAATGGCAAACCACTTCTGATTCATCTGCCGAGTAAAAAACATATCAGACAGACTTGGTGTAGCAGACAACAAAAATAGACAAAGTTCCGGAGGTTCCGGTTTCGAGTCTTGGCCAAGTTACTGGCTATCCAAACTGAGATGCTTCGTGGTTTTCCTCAACATTTCTAGGCGAATATCTTTGTCGTGCACCAAAGTAGGACAGAACCTTCTCTTTACAAACCCTTTCGTATTCATCAACTCGACCAAACTCTGTAGATTACACGAAGTTGATAAATAAGACAATGGTAGACACATCTGCAGACTAAAGAATGTAGGAGAATATTTGGAATTAAGAGGGAGGCAGTGATAGGAGGCTGGAGAAAACTTCATAATAATAATAAAACCTTCATAATTCGTACGCCATCACTATTAGGAAGATGAAACCAAGGAGAATGAGGGAAAATTTCGACTGGATTCACCTGTTGATAGGAACTGGTGGCAGGCACTGGCGAATACGGCAATGGACCTTCAGGATCTGCAAGAGACTGGGAGTTTTTTGACAAGCTGACACACCATCAGCTTCTCAAGAAGTATTCTGCTCCATCGTTCGTCAGCCACTCAGACAAAAGGCTTGAATGTTGGAAGACCAATAAAAATAAACTGTACAATGGAAATTCTTATCGAAAGGAAACCGATGGAGGCAGAAAGTACCTCTGAAACGTCGGTGAACTTCTCCCAGACTACATGTCGCAACATCCCAGAAGACAGACGTCTTCAGACTCACCGCCGTGAAAACTTCAAATCCCAAAATAAGAAAATTGTTTTTAAATTAATGCTGTTTCTTATTTTATTTGAATCTTAGGTAGATAATGAAAATCGTAACAGTACTCCATGGGAATCAACCATATAATTTGCCGTCCAAGCTCATTTCCCATTTCCTGAAGGAACTGTTTAAGTAACTCGTAATAGTTTATAACAATTTAATTACGTTGAAGGGATGCAAGTCCCGTTGCACACAAGAGGCTCTTCACACAGTCTCACGATCGGTGGCTCGACCTCATTTGTGCAGACGTCATTTTCGCCTGGAACAACAAACAAAAATCTTTGCTCATGATTCGTACACAGTGTACGTCAGTGCTCCCCAAACCTGGGTAAATTACCCAAAAAGGGGGTAAAAGTGGTTTTCCTTTGGTTAACGACACACCTCGGAATACACATTAAAATTTACCGTAAAAGTGTGATCACCCACTTAACAAAACCATCTTTGCGTTTCAAGGAATACTTTCCTGAACTAGAAAGTTCTGTCTATCATTGGATTGTAAACCCATTTCTGTGTGACTTGACTGAAATCTTTGATAGTGTTAATGGTTTTTCAGAGCAAATGATGGGGCTTAGGTCATTTGGAGTCTTTCTGGTTAACAATTCACGATGAATATCCTGTGGTAGCTGAGGAGGCCGTGATGCAGTTTCCGAGCACCTGCATGCGCGAAGTAGGATTCTCCACTCTTGCCATCATAAAGATCGCAAAACGAAACTGTTTGCTGAACCCCGAATGTGATGTGAGGTGTGCCCTGTCTCCAATTTTGCGGAACTAGTAAATAAGATGGAGCAGTGGCATTGTACTCATTAGGTGATAAAATATTCATGGTGAATAATTATTAAAATTTTTGACGTAAATACGTCTATATGTGATGTGAGGTGTGCCCTGTCTCCAATTTTGCGGAACTAGTAAATAAGTTGTAAATAAGATGGAGCAGTGGCTTTGTACTCATTAGCTGGGTCCTAGGTGATGAAATATTCATGGTAAATAATTACCAAATTTTTTGTGGCTGCTAAAATGTTTAGAGATGTTTAAAATAAAGATATTGTTTGCTTCATATTTTTAATCGATCTCTCTTCACTTGTCATTTACGTGCAGTTAGTGTTTTACCTACATTTGGTAAAAAGTACTTTCTGATAAGCGGTTTTGGGTAATGAAGGAAAATTCCGTATAGACGTATTTACGTCAAATTCTCCGGAACCGTGGTTCCACTGACAACTTTTTTCCTACCGGACTTATTCAGTTCAAATAATGTATGTGGCGAAGAGAGAAAATTATGAAGATCCTTGATATGCAATCCAGCCTAAACATATTCCCTGTCTGTTAGTTCCAATTGTACGGAGTTAATAGACTTCATGTTCCTTTAAACGACTAATAAGGGGAACATATCGATTGTTACCTTCCGAATCGATTCCGGTTATGCGTCCTCCTCTTAGTTACTGGTCGAAATATTACTTGTAGTCACTCACCGTTTTTTATAAGCCTAATATTTGGTCAGGACGTCAGAGAATGGTCCACTGCCACACTATAAAACAGGAGTCAAATCAGAGAGTAACATTCGACCGACCAGCTTATAAATGACTGGATGTTTGGGTTGACAACAAATATTTGTATTTCTCCCTTCCTAAAAGTTTAATTACGTCACAGGCCGAATGACGTGAAATAGGACACATAGCCTTGAGGTAGGTTACTGTACATTTCAGAAATGTGGAATCAGGGCCGAGTTACAAATTACAGAAGACAAGATTTTTCTGACAACTTCACGTGTTCTCTCGTAGGCCTGCAAATTTTAATTTCGAATGTCCATTGTGAATGACTGTCATTCTTGTTAATATCACGTAAAATTTCTAATCATGACATCGTGACAATAACGATTTGCAGACTTACTTGCACGCAAAAGACCAGTTCTACAACAGAATACCCCGTGAGTGTCTGCATTGTGTATATGAATATGGGTATTAAAAACAGATATTCTACTTCACAGCGTGTCGACTTTAACACAATTTTTTTTAAGATTCTGACGCAAATGACAGCCAGTCAGTGTCGTAACGGCAATGAATCACGTTACCTTTGTCACTGGACGCTTAATCACGTGTTGATCAGTTTCAAGGAAACGAGACAGTGTGAAATACGCTCACGGGGAATTCCAGGCAGTCAGCACAATGCTGTCCACTATGTGTTTACGTACACCATTGCTTTCAAAACTTTTTCCTTCATTACCCAAAACCGCTTATCAGAAAGTCCTTTTTAACCGATCTAAGTAAAACACTAACTGCACTATATGACAAGTGAAGAGAGGAAGGAAACAATACGTTTGATGCAATGTCTTTATTTTAAACATCTCTAAACATTTTAGCAGCCAAAAAGTTGTCAGTGGAACCACGGTTCCGGAGAATTAGACGTAAATACGTCTATACGGAAAGGAAGTTTATATATTGGCTTTATTCTAAATATTTCCTTTATACATGCTTTACAATTGAGATAAGTTTGATTAAGACTTTGCTTATTTAACTTGAATTAGTTACGCTTAAGATGGGTCTGTGGTAGCTGAATGTAATGTAATGTATTATTTTTTATTTAGTGTTCTGTCTGACGACAGGTCCATATGAACAGGATTCTTCCATCCTTTTCTCGGACTGGGACCTGTTCATATACGTTCTTGG